TCCAATCATGATATGGATCAATTCATAAGTTATATGATTTATTTTAATAATTAACCGATATTTCATCTGAGTAATAAGTTTTAAAACTAAATCGTGCATGTTTTGTTATATTAAGTAGTACTTTGATGAATTCAAGTGTGGTACTTACTCGAAAGCAGGATTGAAAGAAATTAAGGAGGAATGGTGTCAATACATTCTTGAGTTGAGAATTGTATAAGGTATATGTATCGTCAAATATTGATGTGGGACAATAATATTTCTAGAAGTCGTATCTATTTGTAAAGTTATCGGTTTTGTAATTATATATAAATTGACTGTATTTGTGAAGTTGTTCTGAGGATCGGATTGTGTTGAATTATATATGAGCAGGTTTATGTGAATTAAAATGATTATGGCCAAAGTGTTGAATTACAATGTATATTTAAGGCCAAAGTGTTAATTACAATGTATATATAAGGCCAAAGTGTTGAATTAAAGGTCTGAATTATAAGTAGGGAATGTAATTTTTATAAGTAGGTTTATCGAAAATAATATTAAAAAAGTAATTATTTAAAAAAAAATTTAATATCGTGAAGAATAGACAACGCTTTTACTAAAAAACGCTGCTAAAGGGGGACATAGAGAGCGCTCAAAAAAGCGCTGCTATAGGAGGGGAAAGGGGGGAGAATAGGCAGCGCTTTGGAAAAGCGCTGCTAGGGGGGGGGGGGGGGGGGAGGGGGAATAGGCAGCGCTTCTGAAAAGCACTGCTAAATGGGGGGTTTGGGGGAATAGGAAGCGCTTCTGAAAAGCGCTGCTAAAGGGGGGGAAAAGCACTACTAAAAGTGCTGTTAAATGGGGCCTATAGCAGCGCTTTTTCCATAAAAGAAAGCGTTGCCTTTACCTTTAGCAGCGCTGCTAAAGGGCAAACAAAGTGCTGCTAAAGGTCTTATTTGGCTAGTGAAAGTTGCTGCGTGCAAATTTAAGACCTAAGAAATACTTTAATGGACCAAGATCTTTGATGTGGAAATGATGCTGAAGAATATCCTTGGTTTTGTTCATGTTGTTTCCTGCAAGCAGAACGTCATCAACACACATCAAGATGAAAGTGGAATTCTCGTGAGATGTGTGTATGAATAGAGAGTGACCAGATGAGCATTGCTTGAAGTCATTAGTGATTAAAACTTGAGATAACTTCTCAAACAATTGTCTACTCGATTATTTTATGCCATAGATGGATTTGAGGAGTTTGCAAATCTGATTTGGATAAGAGGGAGCAATACCTTTAGTAAAAGTCATATGAACTTCCTCATCTAAATCTCCATGTAAAATAGCATTATGCACATCAAGTTGATGAACGAATAAATTCGAAGATGTAGTAAGAGAAAGAAGTAATCATATAGTTATGAGTTTTGCAACAGGGGAAAAAGTGTCAAAGAAGTCAATACCTTGGATTTGTTTGAAACCTTGAGCTACTAACCTAGCTTTATGCCTTTCTAAAGTGCCATCAGAATTAATTTGGTCTTGTATACCCACTTACATCCTATTGATTTCTTGCCTGGAGGTAAGGAGGTAAAAGTCCATGTATGATTGGCTTGCAAAGCTTGAATTTCAGCTTCCATAGCCTTGACCCAATGAGGGTGAGCACTTGCTTGCTTATAAGAAATAGGGTCACAAGAAGTGGTAATAGCATAAATAAATGAAAAATATGCAGGTGAAAGAGGATCATATGAAATATATTTAAAGATGTCATAAATAATAGAGGAGTTAAATGCATTACAAACAAAATCTTTTAAAAAGGCAGGGGTAGATTTAAGTCTGGTAGAGTTTTTAATGGTGGTGGGCTCAGATAAACTATCAAGATCAGGTATGGGTGGTGTATCATGTTGGTGAGGATGTATTTGTGTGGAAGCAATTGATGTCAATTCCTCTAGATTCTTCAACCCAACCCACACTACCCTTGTTGATATTGTCAGTTCCTCTACCAACAATAATACCACACCTTTACCTCTTGCCACTCAACCTAACTTACCTTTTAATCCTGTTTTTCCCATATGCACTAAGTCAAAGCAATTAATGGAAACAAAATTACTATTAGGGAAAGAAAGTTTACATTGATTGGGTAAATGGCAAATGTTACAAATAGAAGTCTTATGATATTTGATAACATGAAATAATTTAGACATAGTATGTAAAACCTCATTTGAGGGATGGCCTAAACGATGGTGCCATAAGGAAGTATCTAAAGTGGCTGGATCCTTAATGCCAACATTGTTACAAGTATTGGCATATGTGAAAGTGTGCATTGAGTGTTTATGAAGAATGTAAAGATTGTTATGCAGAGTCACTTGTTCAATTACCCACTTGGTAGACACATCCTAAATATCGCAGGAGTTGTTTGAGAAGGAAATGTTATAACTGGAATTATGACATTGTCTAGAGATGGATATCAAGCTGAATTTAAATGCAGGAATGCAGAAAAAATTATGCAACTGCAGAAAATCATTAAGAATAACACTACCAGAATAATGAGTAATGATACAAGTGCCATTAGGAAGATAAATATGGACAGGATTAATAACAAAGATAAAGCATTTAATATAAGGGCAAACATTATGGAATACACCTGAATCATGGATCCACATAGAATAATTTTGAAGGGTACTACCTAGATTAACAATACCTGAGACTACTTCCTTTTCAGGATTGAAAGCCTTGTCATTCTTGAGATGATGATTATCCTTTATGGACTGTTGAAGAAGCAACAATAGATATTGGTAATCCTCCTTGGAGATAACTTGTTCTTTGTCAGCAGCAGCAGAAGGATTCTTGGACTCTGCTGAAGGCCTAGGGTTCTTGTTCCTATAGCCAGGTGGAAAATCATGCTTGAAATAGCATGCTTCCACTGTATGGTTGGTTTTGTGACAGTTGGTGCACAACATGAAGGTTTTGGAGTTGGCTTTACCTTTACTTCTAGGATTTGTATTGTTTGCAGAAAGGATGGTGGAGGTAGGTGCAGGGGCAACTGAAGGATTAACCTGTTGCTGAGCAATGAGAGAGTACACACAACAGATGCTTGGTAAAGGATCAAGGAGCGGTATCTTGGTGTGAATGTTGTGATAGTTGTCATTTAAACCTTTCAAGAAATAAGTGACATATTCCATATGTTTTAAATTATGCATAACCTTGGCAAAATTACAAGTAAAAGGAACATGGAAAGTGCAAGAAGAGGTAGGTCTTAAATTCTCTAATTCATCCTTGAGAATCTTAAGATCGGTAAAGTATATGGATAAAGACCTATCACCTTGTTAAACAAAATGCATATCACGGAAAAGATCAAAGAAGCGAAAATAGTTACCTTTAGTGAATATTTCTCGAAAATCTTCCTAGAGATCAAAAGCCAAACCAAAACATATAGTACTTTGTGCGATATGCGGGGAAAGTGTGCGATTAATCCAAGAAAGAACCATATTGTTTGCACGATCCCAAAGCTCATAGTTAGGATCAGATATAACAGGTTTGGGGAGATTAACATTAATGAAGGAAAGCTTGTTCTTGGAGGTCAAAGCTCGCAGCATGGATTTGCTCCAATTGTGATAATTGTTGTCATCCAAAGGCGGAGCAACGATGGTAGCGTCGGGGTTCTCACCGGGATGAAGGTAAAAGGGGTTGCGATGGTTCAAGATAGGATCTAGTGGATTGTTCTTGGAAGAATTAGGTTTTGTGGAGGGTTTCTTTAACAGAGGAATTGTCATCGTCAGAAGTCATGAAAGGAAAGATGATAACGGGTTAGAAGGTAGAACGGAAGAGGAAGATGATGATGGACAAAAAAAGGGTTTAGTCTACTGATATTGTATTAGAGCATATAAGGTTGAAGATGATGTGCAACCATGGCAGGAAGAAGAGAATTAAAAATGAAAAAGGAAATGAATATGAAAAATGAAATTATGAAAATCTGTATTACAAACCCAATGGGCCTAAAACACTGTATAAAGCAACAAAGCTCAATGACAATAACAAGACCCAAAATAGAAAATAAGAATCTCATCATCTATATCTCTAATACAATTTAACATTTGCATTATAAGAGTAATTTCGAATTCTTTACTTTTTGGAGTAATTTGAAATTCTTTAAATTTAACTTGAATAAAATATTTCATAAATTTACATCATTTTAACAATTTTTTATATTTTTTTATCTAAACAATAGATTTTGATCTAATCATTTAAATTCTCTCAAAAAATTACGCTCTTAAGATTTTTGTGCATATATAGTGTTGAGGTAGGTCTCTTAAATGTTGAATGTTCGACTCATAGATATTTTAGACGCTCCCGGAACTTGCACTTGTGAAAAAGATTTTTAAGATTAAGTGTCAGTAATTAAGTGTCACATTAACTAGAAATAAAATAAATGTTGCATATATATATATATATATATATATATATATATATATATATATATATATATATATATATATATATATATATATATATATATATATATATATATAAATAATAAATTAATGTCTTAAAATTTTAGATGAATGTGTAATATTAAGATCTCTTGAATTCTTAACATTAATTTATTCACACTTGAGACGCTTTATTCCTCATATTCTCCCAACGAACTCCCTGCTATATATTTCATTGTTGCTTCTTTTTCAATGTTTCTTTTTTTATTGATACCGTGCTCCACCCTTCCTCCCTTTTCAACCATAACTTATTTGCCCAAACAAACAGCCACCGTTTTGAATTCTTAAGTAATATGCTGGAAATGTCAAAACCTTATGTCATGGAAGACCTAATAATCTAGAAATTCCGATGCATCATAAACAAAAATAGCACAAATGCAATGAATTGATCAAAATCCCAACTAGCAATATTTTTGGTTTCACTTGGATTCATGTATCTATAACTTATAATAATAAGTATTATATCAATATAGCTAGTACAAGAAAATAATTCATATATATTCACACAATTATTCTAATCCATATATGATTATTATAATTGCATCATATTCATCAAACACCTATATATGCTTCTAGTGCATTTTCCTTAAGTGTTGAAACAAAGTACTCTAAGTAATCTCCATAAGTGAACGATCGATAACGTAGAGGATGCACTTCATCATCCACCAATTCATCTGGCACCTCAATTTTCACATCTTCTTTTGGAAGTGTAAACTCAGCAAATGAGTATCTTTCTTTGTCTCCACACATCATCACTTTGTGTGCAGGTGCATGAAGTCTTCCATTACTCCATGCCTACACATACTCAAATTTCAAACAAAAACATTTAAAACTTAAAATAAAATAAATAACATGTACTATGATATGCATGAAAGTACCTTGAGTATGTCACCAACTATGACAATGAAACCTTCTTGGGGAATGTTCAATTGAATCCATTTATTTGTTTTGGTTTGAACATGTAAACCTTGGACTTCGTTTTGGTACAACATGGTTAAGGTACTTTTGTCGGTATGTGGTAACAAAGCTGTTTCACAATCTTTGTTGGTTTTAGGAGTTTTGTATTTCATCAATCGTAAATGACCGGTATTCTTCAACACTTCAATATCTAAACAGCATTGTTTTGGAAGACCATAACTATCTTTAATCATCTTCAGAATAAGAAAACTCAGCTCATGCATCTTAGAGCTCAACGACTTCATTGTCTCACTAATCACACAAATCCACAAAAATTGTGACAAAATATTACTCTTCAAATCATTTGAATTTACTAAATGTTTCAAGAGTTTGTTGATAAGGATTGAAACACATCACTTTCATATAAACAATGAATTTAAAAAAAAAATATAAAGAAAAAATAAAACCTGAAAGTTGAATTTCCTTGAGGCCAGATGAGATTAGTAAAAGCAAGAGCATTATCCTCAAGAAAAACATCATCAATTCCCAACGTTTGTGTTAGAGGAGACTTGGGACAATCACTTTTGTAGCTGCTGTAAGGCCTAGTACTTATGTGCTTCCTCTTAACTTCTTCTGGTAAATCAAACAACTCTTTCATTCCTTCTAACATGTTCTCACACAAACTCTCTGGAATCTTATTCTTATCATACATTAAGATAAAACAGCCATAACTCTCTAAAGCTTCTCTCACTTTTTTACTCATTTTTTCCCATTCCTCACTCCCTTCATCATCATCACCAACTCCTGAAAAATCTAGACATGGGATCATTTCATTCTCACTTCCCATTTTTTTTCTCTTTCTCTTAACACTTTGATGTTATAATGATGTAGTTGAACTTGATGTTGATTTATATGTCGTGATAAAGACAAGATGTACTAAAACGGATAAGGTCCCATCATATATCTAAATAAATGTATATACAAATTGAGTTCAACCTATTATAAGAAATAAAGTAAATTTTTTTTAGGAAAATTAAAATATTATGTAAAAAATGAGTTCATTGATTTATAGCTGGATTATATATAATTATATTCATGCATGCAAGCCATTTGTAGTTTTAGAGGTTAGTTTTCATTGACAGTCGATGCTTGGTTGGCGATTGCTATTATCTCTAACCGCATCTTTTTCTTATACAAACAAGCCATGTAGTTAATCCATCCAAGTATTTCACTTTTCTCCATACACTGAAAATTACTGCATCATATCTTAAATATAGGGTCACATCAAGAATTAATAAAGTTAATGCAGTAAATTATATTATCTCTTGATTCTATTTATAAAAAAAAATTAATTTTAAATTAATTTAATAATTAATATATTTAGATTGTATTATGAATTAGATATATTAATTATTTAATAATTAAAAAATTAACTTTTTCTTATAAATAAGACCGAATTAATATTATTTAACTCTTTCGTTTTAAAATGACTGAAGTTTAAAGAATATAATATTATTCATATAAGACATTATATTTTTACTAAATTACTCTTAATATTATAGAAGTAATGTATAGAGTAATAAATTAAATAATATAATTATAAAAATAATAATTAATTCTACGTTAAAAAGTGAAAACCATATTTATTTTAAAATATTTTTTTTTTCTTAAAACGACGATCAAGTGCAAATTTATCTAACTTTATCAAAGAAAGAAATTTAGTGAGTAAGGCGATCATGGTGAATAAAATTATTGATTTGGCGGAGAAATTTAGGATTGAGATTTTATCTTTAAAATTGACTTCGAAAAAGCTTATAACTTAATGAGTTTCAGTAATTTCTTGGAACAATATATTGAAGATATTTGACTTTGATTATATGTCGGATGTTTGGATTTAGACATGTGTTTGTACAAGAATATCACTTTAGTTAATATAACTTTAAATAATAAGACAATCTATCAACGTTAGTTGATGGAAGCTCAACTTGTAACACCCTAAACCACGAGACTTATAAATAAAGCATTACACGATAATTTAAGGTGTCACCAACAACAATCCTTCGAAAACACATTAAATCATTTGAAACTACGCAGCAAAAAACATTTTTCAACAAACCATAAATAAGTTATAAGTTCCAAAATAACAAAAGCAACAACAACTTCGAATGCATAATAACTCTCGTCCCCGGTGTTGGACGGTCAGAGCAGTAAACCACTAATGTATTATAAAGTAAATAAAATAAAAGCGAATAATAGCTCCAACAAGTTGTCTTCCAACACACAGCTCTTTTGAGTATCTGTAAGATGTCCATGGTGGATAATTTGAAGGAAAAGAGGTGAGAAACAACATTCAATATAAACAGTGTAAAGAATGTTAAGGTAGATAATATACAAGAAACACACATTCATTATACAATCAACAACAACATTGTCTCACTCACATTCGTAACGACATACACATATTCACAACTAATCAACAACATTATGAACAATCAACTGCATATGCAAACATGTATGCAGTGTACTACACAATTGACTCATTATGCATGTGATACCATTTATGAACACTCAGATTCATCGTGCTCCTGAATCACCACCATAGGATTAAAGCACACCAAATCGTTATCATCACCATAGGCAACACTTCATTAATTCCCATATGGAACCAGCTAATCGCTCCTGAATTCCTACCATAGAACTAGATCAAACCAAGACTGGATCGAAGTTCGTACATTATGATGCATGACTTTCAACAACATGCATTATCACCAAAAGGTTCACCAAAATAATCACCATGTATTTATCATTGTTATGCATAACATCGTGCATCATACGCAATATAATTAATCAATGTTACAATATTCAACAAACAACAAAAACAGAAGCAACTCAATAAATGCATATTCACAAGCATTCAATCATGTTAATTCATTAAATCATCAACGAAATTATTAGGCAAACACAAGATTCACTAATCGATCATACATGTCATCACATATATTCCTACGGTAGACAAATGACTACAATTCAAATATTTCACCAAGCACTACCATGAGATAGTTCTACGTGTTAGTTTTCTAATGCTTCGAACAGCGTCTCATTTAGACTTATGGAATGAAAGCTACAACCAAAATCGTTGAATAGTACAAAGGGTAAAACAAATTTATTTACAAATTGGCCTATGACAATTGATTGTCATAGAGTGACAATCGATTGTTACCAAGAGAATTTTGCTACTGACTTCCAAAGACATATAATTAATCGATTGTACCCCCTATAATCGATTGTAATGTTAATTATTTTCAAATTTTGAAAGCATGCAATTGATTGACTACATGTTGCAATTGATTGACACCCTTATTTTTTTTTCACGATTTCAACTAGTGCAATTGATTTGCTCTGTAATGACAATTGATTGTTTACTAAATTTTTCAGAAGAAACTAATTTTCTTCATACGTTCATTATCTTCTTCCCCTTTAATCCTCCATACATGACCCCAATCAATTTCTCCAAAATCAAAAGACCCAAAACATGAATTTAACATTGAATCATATTATCACAACCATCATCATATTACAACACCTATTTTCATCATGATCCATAGTAATTCATAAATAATTCCAACATTAATTTCATCATCAATCATGAACGCAACTCAAGTATTCAAACATTCATCAATGACAGAATTTTATACATACATATTCATGATATTTCAAACATAGATTCAGTCATAGAAACACATGTAGACACAAAATAAACCAATAAATTCCAAATTTTCTATCACACAACATTTTTCAAAGCAAATCATGAAATCCTAGTGAGACTAAGGACCTCTCTTCTTTACCCCATCATGCAATACACACATATTGATATCTCTTTCTCCCCTCTTACCTTAGATTTCCAGCAACGATAGCGAACCAAACAACTTATGTGAATTTCCTCTTCAAAACCCTAGATTTCCTTCCAATTGCTTTTGTTTCACTAGCCTCTTATTTTCATGTATCGTAAAAAGTTCCCTCAAAACCTAATGTCTCCCCACTTTTAGAATATATAATAATCTCATTACTTTTATCTAATTATTATTATTACTCATCAATTTTAAAGTTTCTCTCCTTCCACTTCATTTTTTCCTCGATTCACCCAATTGGCTCAATTCCTTATTTTTACCAATTTTTTCATTTTATTTCTAATAATAATTAAAATGATAATTATTCTAATTAATTATTTTTCTAATTATTCTACCAAGCTACTACATTCTCTCCACACCTTACCATTGCTACTACACCCCAACAACACATATAATCACATGGTTTTATTTAAAGGCACATCAAACACCAAATAACTAAATAAAATTTTTAGATAATTCAATTCAATAAATTAATCTAATGCAGGGTATTACACAACTTTTGTTGAGAGGTTGAATGGGATGATTCCTAAAGTTTAATCTTTGAATAGGTTCAAGGATTTATCTGTGGAAAACTATGGACATGTTGTTCTCATCTTCACTATGTTGACAAGGTATCTCACTTTTCTCCATACACTGAAAATAACAAAACATCCTACAGTCAAGAAAACCACACATTTCAGGTGTCTGTGCGATACAGGTTATATGATTGAAATCAAATTGTATAAATTTAATATACACTGATTATATAACAATTATTTTGACTGAGATTACTTGTTAGAACTTCCATGGAATTACTAATTGGCTAAAGGGAATTCATTTTCTAAAATTACTACATAGCGGTTTAAATATTGGGTCACATCAATAATTACTAAAATTGATTGTGGTATTAATTAAGTCTATGACAATTTATATTGTTTTATAAGTTTGTTTTTGTAATTAATCTACTTTTAAAGAAAGAAATGTATTGAATAAGTTGATAGTATTTAATGAAATCATTGATTTAGCGAAGAAATTTAGGATTGAGATTTTATATTTAAAATTGACTTTGAAAAGACTTGAAACATGGTGAGTTTAAGTAATTTTTTTAACTAATATGTTAAGGAGATTTGACTTTGATGATATATGGAATGTTTGGATTCAGGCATGTGTTTGTACATGAAGTATCAATGCTAGTTAATTGAAATCTAACTAAGTTTATCAATGTTAGTTGATGGAAGTTCAACTAAGGAAGTTAGCATTCAAAAAGGTTTTAACCTATATGAAATTTTATTCTTCATAGGACAGATGTCGAACATGGTGTCCTAGATAACTGATTCGACAAGTTAAACCTGAATCACCATAATTAACACAAATTCAATTAAATAAGATGATGGAGCAGAAAAGAAATAAAGAACACAATAGTTGGTAATCGAGTTCGATGCAAAAACACCTACATCTAAAGGATTGACTTCCAGCCCAAGAAAGAAAATTCACTATTAGTAGTTTAGTTCATTCAGTCTTACAAGCAACAACAAACTCTATATTTTCCAATGCCTCTTTCTAACACTACCCAATGACTTTCTATTTAGGCCACCCCCTAAATATGAGAATCCCTCTCACTCTCTCTCAACCATTAAATCCTAGCGATTGATGTTTAACCAAATTATCAATGTTGTATATTACAACTTAACTAGACAAACCTTATATGTCAAGTTACTGAAACATAGAGGTGTACATAAAGCATAAACAAGGACTCTAAACATTAGCACTCTAAATCTTCAACAATTATTTCTTGCTTTTCAATGTAGGTCTTAGCTCCTTATATAGAAAAAGTATTATGGGTTTTTCTCCTTGTGAATCTGCATTTAATTTCATGCAGAATCTTTACATAATTAGTTGGATATTATTTTCTCCATAAATATCTCCAACAAAAAGATATTTGATCTTTACAATTGTTCAA